CACATATATGCCTCACAAGTTTACATTCAATACTTGGCAGACTATGAAAAACTTCAAAGAAAGAACTCATTTGGCAGAATGAGATTTCTTCTTGCATGGGTACATGAGAAAAATCGTTTTTATTAATTTCTATAGGGATTCTGACTTAGTTTTCCAGGCAGATAGCACACACCTAAGTTATCAACAAAACAGTGCAAACTACTGCAGCAGTATGGTTATCAGGACAATACCCTTTGAAAAAAAATCCTTAGGGAAAGCATTTTAAAGGTAATGTAGCCTACACTTTATCTCCTGAAGCCTACACAGTATTTTACAGCAGTGCTTTCAATAATGGGAAAACCCAGCACAAACTTTACCCTGGGCTGGGGATCAATAACCCTCTCCATATAAGCTACAGGTTTACAGGTGAATGTTATTACCAGGTTGGCTGCTTGTGGCCATACTGGAAGGAATTTCCTCAGCACAGTCCTCCACAACGGTAGTGGAGGGTGGCACTGCAACCTTCCTGCAAATGTACATATCTATGCCTTGAAACCTGTTAAAAAATAGGTGTCTTGCTCCTTTAACTAAAAACTGCAGTAGAACTTCATCTTACAGATCAGGCTGGAGATCAGACGGCACACACGGTCACAAATAGTTTAAAACCATTCTTATAGTTTAAAACCATTCATTTTCTTGCCCTCCTCTGTCCCTAAATGTTTAAATTTCCTATGCAGACACCACTCTTCTCCATCTGTTTCACTACCTAGCTTTCCAAAGCCAAAAGGGCAAATAGACCATCACAGGAGATGTAACACTCATAAAAGACCTCTTCCCCTTCCTCTAAGCTGGAGAGCAGAATTGTGCCATTTCACCTCCATTTCTCCTCCTTACTACCTTTAACCTCACACACTACAGAGGACCATAGGTGTCAGAAAGTTCAACCAACTTACCTCCACGCCAGGCAACTGAGCAACCAGTTCGTTTTCAGACTGAAGCCACTTCTCGGTATCAGGACTACTAGCACTACTCAAACTTTATCAAAGAAACTGCAAGAGACT